GGCCCACCAAAATGAAAATTCTGTGCGAAAATGGAAAAGGTGTGTGAGGCTGCCATCGGAGTATGCCGACGGACCTCGAGAAACCACAGCGATAAAATTGCATTCGCCGCGGGAGAAGTGGTGGCTGAACAGAGAGAAAAGAGACTGAGGAAAAACGTGCTTCGGAACCACAGGCCCGTAACCCAGAAACCAAAAAGAGAAATATGTCGAAAAAAGGGCTAAACCCACTACGGAAATACCCAGTCATGTAGGGTGGATTGATAGGTTTGACAGGTCCATAGGGGACACGATAGAAAAAAGAGACATATAAAGGAGAGCTCGGACATGACATGGCATGGGCAATTTGGTACGGTTCGAATTCTCCGAGGGGAAGCAACGTCGCGCTCGTATTATTGTCGCTGGTCTGCCGATAGCACCAATGTCGGAGAATACCTTCCCTCTCGGGTTCGGCGATTTGCATGTGCCGCGCGCACAATTCATAGAGTACGGGAAATACGGCGCGCTGACGCGAAAGGGCGCGAGAGACAAATATAGAAGAAGCGTGTAATAGGGAAATCGCCCCATCTTCTCTTCGAATAATGGGGTTATGAGGTAGAATGACGACACACTCCTCGATACTATTATCGAGAGTCTGAGTAGTACATGAAAGCATGAAGGGGAATGTGCGCGGATAGATAGATGGGCCTTTGTAGGAAATGGACGTCACCTGATGACTCTATTCGACTTGACACGTTGAATACCCAACAAGTCAAGCAATAATAATCGGACGAGCAAGACTAGAAATCGGCGTCGATTCCAGCTAATCTCGATCTCTTTGACGATCTCTCGAGAGAAGTTTGGGGGAGAGGGGAGAGAGGAGAACAATGGTAATGGTCGAAAGATGATGCTATTAGAGAGCACACGTTCAGATCCCGTCGGGTCAAGTCGACCCAAACTTTATTTACCGTGGGGCGGGCAAGCGGGAACACGAGGAAAAGGAAAAAACACGGTGATCCATATGGAAGGGCATCTCCCCCATAGAAGAATCTCCTTTAGCCCCTTTAAGGCACTTTGTCCGCCCACGGCAAATTACTAGACCCATCAAGCATTCACTCTCTCGGCCTCCACCCCTGATGACGTCCAACCAGCAACCCAGATGAAAAAGATAGAAGAAATAATTGGCCCACCAAAATGAAAATTCTGTGCGAAAATGGAAAAGGTGTGTGAGGCTGCCATCGGAGTATGCCGACGGACCTC